CTCCCTTATAATCACTCATCTTAGTTCATCGTGACCTCACAAAGTTTACATTATAATCAATGAATTCCTCAATGCTGCACAATGAATCTCTTATTTACATCGCATCTACACTTTGTTGTAATGAGATGATTCGTGCTGAACACAACACCCGAACAAAAGCTTCAGCGATTTGAGCGGTGAGTGGATTCTAACTTGAAAGCCTCTGACTGTCTGTTGTGTTCAAGAAATCAACAGATATGTCTGTGATTGGCTACATTGCTCAACGCTGCACAAACACATGATCTCCAGAGCGCAAACCATAACGCACTGCATAGTTTGCCAAATTTGCCATGACATGCTATTATTACAGTTTTAACTGAGGGTGCTATTGATTCAGTTTGAGCTCTCTCTAGCACCCCCGTTGAACCGTGCCTGTACACTAGTGTTACACTTGTTAAAAAGAAAGTATTGATCTTATACTAAACATCTTGCGCTTATATAAGTCTTGGGAAATGTGCTGTATATACAATGCTGCCTGGGCATTGAAGATAAATATAAACTAGTAACCCTTGATATTCTGACATGTTTAATACTATTTAAACTATATAGTATATTGGTAAAAGTTGAACTCCTAAAATAAAATTGAAGACATCTTAAGACAAATCTGATTATCTCATTGAGACATACACTCTTAAAAATAAAGGTGCTTCACGATGCCATAGAAGAACCTTTTTGTCTAAAGGGTTCCATTAAGAACCTTTAACATCTGAAGAACCTTTCTGTTTCACAAAAGCTTCTTTGTGGCGAAAGAAGGTTCTTCAGATTACAAAAAGCTAAGAAAGAGATGGTTCTTTAAAGAACCTTTGACTGAATGCTTCTTTTTGGAACCAAAAATGGTTCTTCTATGGCATCGCTTGAAGATCCTTTTGAAGCACCTTTATTTTGAAGAGTGCATAAGAGAATCAGCCCTTAGTATCCTGAGCATAGCGTAACCTATCAGAGCCATAGCCTTGTGGACAGCACATCGACGTGAAGACACAACTGCACCTCAGACAACATGGGTTTGAGTCCCAGCTACAGGTACTTTCCTGCTCCTGTTCAGTACTCACCTGTCCAATTGTTTCCTGTCTCTACTCCTACTGTCCTGACCATTAACGGTGAACAACCCCAATGTAATCAAGAAAACAAGTTTATAACGGGGTCTTGAAAGAGATTACAGCAAGACAATAAAGATATCTCCCATGTTTCTCACAGTCCTGTCTCAGTTGTGTCTACTTTTATTTCTCCTAATTTTAGGAGAAACATCTGAGACACACATGAGAATCACAACTAAGTCTCCTGAGCTTAGGAAAAGCAACCACCGAGCAATACATTTTTCCTATGTGTGAAACTCTGATGACAGCAAAGCAATCATCAAGTATTACAATAAGTTGCTACAGAGCATTTCAAACCTCTATGTTTTGTTCAGTTTATTCAAGGAACCATGAATATTTCAGTGTATAAAGTGTTTAGGTTATGCAAACGTGTACAAAATGCAAAAATGCAACACAAAAAGCGAAAAGCTGTGTGTTTGTAAGAAACAAATCCATCATTTAGGTGTGTTTAACTTCAAACTGTGGCATCCATGGCCTAAATACAAGTACCTTATCCATAATGTTGCTTTCTTCAATGAAAAAGTGTTCTGGTGTGAATCAGGAGAGAAATCTGCACAGATCAAGCACAGTTTAAACAGCTCTAAACACATATGTGGCTGGATTCTGATGTGAGAGACAACAGCAGATGCACTTTTTCACTGGAGGAAGCGTTATTATGGATTATGGACTATTTTGGCCATGCAGCTTTTCTCTTCACAAGCCGTTAACTGATGGACTGGAGTGGTGGGGATTACTTGTGATGTTTTTATCAGCTGTTTGGACTCTCATTCTGACGGCACCCATTCACTGCATTGGTGAGACAGTGATGCAATGCTACATTTCTCCAGATCTGATGAAGAAACAAACTCATCTAGATGTTGGACGGCCTGAGGGTGAGTAATTGTTCAGCACATTTTAACTGTTCCTGTATCTACAAAGTAAAATTGACATACTAAAAACTTATACAAACAAAATGCTGTAGTAGAACATTCAGTCAGTACACAATCATCCTGTTTTATTGGCTAATGATTCAAAAATATCTATCAAGACGATACAAATGATGCATGCTCATTGTGGATGACGCATGCAACACTGATTGGCACCATTTAATAATTTAAGACATTTTACTGATACAGGCAACTTTAGACCTTAAACGTATACCTTACAAACAGCATGTCTTATGCATGAGCTGATTACTTTAGTTTGACTTTTCAAAAGGACTTGCAGGTGTTTTGCTTCATGCACATTTGATCATTTCCATCATGTAAGCAGAACGTATTATTAGGAGTCAGTGAAATGTAGACAGACATTTGTAAATACCTGTAGCGACTGATGCACTTTTTCTCTTCAAGAGTTGGAGTGTTGTTATGGTCTTTGTACGCTTCAATATTTTAGACAATTTTTTTGGATCGTCATGAATAAGCAGTTGAACCAGTATCACATTTCAGTAAATTAGCATTGTAGATGACCACAGGACACTACTGGGTTACCAAAGCTACATGTAGTCGGAACAAGTCATCATCAATTATTTAAGCCAGAGTCAGTTTTATTTGTTTCCTGACAATTACACACGCTTCTGTTCAAGCATCTCGCAGGTGTTTTGTCTTTAAGATAGTATGATATGATGCAAAATTGTATTTGAATCAATGAGTGATTAGACGTACCGTTTTTCACCTGCTGGACCATTAAACAGGTTAATTTTCTCAATCTGGCAAGGATATTACAGTCAAATGTGAGCAATGAGGTGCAAGATTAAACTTTGTATTTGACCATATTACACTGACTGCTTTGCAGTTGCATGCAAGACCCAGCTCTTGCGTATATATGTTTAAACAATGACATTTTTAATAGAATATTGTACCAAGTGAGAGACACAAGAGGAATGTAAAAATAAAGAAGCAAAGAATTCTTGCTTATTTATTTTGAGATTTTGAACATTGTTACAGTGTGATTATACTTTTAAATACAGAGTAATATTAAATAACATGTACTTACTACAGGGTTTAGATTGTGGTTAGTTGCATAATTTACTGTTATTATTCTAGTAAGTACACTACTAGTTAAAAGTTTGGAATAATTACATAGATAGATTTAGTCTCTTCTGTTCACCAAGGCTGCATTTATTTGATCACAAATACAGTAAAAATGTAATATTGTGAAATATTATTACTAAACAACATATTTCTATGTGAATCTCTGTTAAACTGTAATGTATTTCTGTGATGCGCAGCTGTATTTTCAGCATCATTACTGCAGTCTTCAGTGTCACATGATCTTCAGAAATCAGTATAATATGCTGATCTGCTGCTCGAGAAACATTTCTGATTATTATCAATGTTGAACACAGTCGTGCTGCACAATATTTCTATGGGGGGGGGGTAGAAATTAATACTTTTATTCAACAAGAACTCAATAAATTGCTCAAAAGTGACAGTAAAGACATTTATAATGTTACAAAACACTTCTATTTCAAATAAATGCAGCCTTGGTGAGCAGAAGAGACTTCTTTCAAAAACTTAAAAAATTCGGAATTATTCTAAACTTTTGACTCGTAGTCGTGACGTGTAACAAGTACACTGCAAAAAAAAAAAAGCGTCAGTGATTTTTTGTTTTTTTTTCACAGTTTTATTATGTGAATCAGATTTATATTAAGTAATAGCTTATAGAGACTGAGCTTGTATTTGAAGTAAAATGTACCATTTGAAATAAGTTAGCACACTGCACTGCCATTTCCTCCAAATCTTATGGAAACTTTGGACTTTTTGAATGTGGTATAATTAGTTTAGCTGTAGCCCATCACTGCTGAGAGGCATTATGCTCACACTCCCTTCAAACTCTCGATACAACCTCGTTGCTCCTGCAGTTTACGTGCTGGTTTTTACCTGCTTTGTTAGTCTGAGGACATCTAGAGTAGTAGCTCTCTCATCAAGAGCTAGTTCTAGTTACCACTGTCTCGGGTTCAGCACTCATACACTATTCATGGCCATATCACATCTCTCCTGCCCATCTTCAGGATTAGACCAAACCAGACTCTTTTTGAGTGACTTTTGTGGCCTCTCTGTCAATAATGAGTTTGTAAACTATTCATTTTAAAGACATCTTGATATTGGAATCGGTTTGTCTTTCCTGCAAACTCCTAGATGTGATTCAGGAAAGCAGCTGCACTGTACGGTAAGCTTTCAGGATTTCATCAGACTTTGCATACGAGTCTTTTGTTTGCTTTGTGTGTCATGGAAAACCAAATATTGCAATATTGATGTATATTAATTGTGTATTAATGAAAACATTAAACATAATCAGAAATGTATCAGGATGTTCAAAATTCACTATTTTGTGGAATTTTTTGAGGATGTTTTAGTAAAATACGTTACTTTTATCCAAAAATATCTTGCAATGGAAATATTTTCATCATAAAACCTTAATAAATAATTGCTGTTTAAGAAAGAAAAACTACCAGAAACTAGTAAAAACTGTTGGTTGGTCTGCACAGAATCCATTAGCTCTGTTTTGATTGCATCAGTTAGCTCTGAGCATACATAATTCTCAGACTTGAATATGCTTTCTTTCTTTCTTTTTATTTCTCTCTTATGCTTATTTAAAGGTAATCTGTCAGTTGTAGATGCACCTGTCTGTTTAGATAATCATGCTGCTTATGCAAATTAATTCAGTGCTAAATAGATTCTTCATGTATCTGCTAATTATTGATGGGTTAGGGTAATAAACTTGAGTTAATTAATAAAGGCGAATTGCTTTTGGATTCCTGGCTGATTGAAATGGAGTTACACAGACATTACCGTTACATTTAAATTGAGAGATTTTTAACATTTCTTTTTCATTTCCATTTTCAAAAACATTCATATACCAAGAGGATAAATCAAATTCCTAACAATGAAGCGTAGCAAGCATCGAGCCTCCAAGGATGATGGCAAAGGTCAAGGTGAACGATTTTATTAATTGTGTGGAAATTTGTACATTATTAGTTCAGTTTTGTTTATAGTGAATAATTCATATATTTCAATAATTATGTCATATTATATGATAATACATTTAATAAATGATATAAAACATTTTATGTGAATGTAGCCTTTATTTATTGCAAATAACTTGTTTATTGAAAATATATATATATACATAATGAATGTCCATAATGTTCATAATGACATCTCATCATATTTGACTTGTTAAGATGAGCCGGCCATCCTAGAGACGGAGGATATGAGGATGCCAGACCCGGACACCATCTCACTCGCGTCAGTCACTGCCGTCACAACCAATGTCTCCAATAAGAGGTGACCAGAAATTATTCCAGTCACATGATTCCAAATCAGATTTGATATGCTGTATTACATTTATGTTGTGTTAAATATGACTTAAATGCCAATATTCCATATTCTAACATTGTATGTTGATCAACTTCTACTTTTTTTCCCATCCAAAAATGTCGTGATTATTTTAGATCAAAGCCTGACATCAAGATTGAGCCTAGTGCCGGAAGACCAGTTGATTTCCAAGTATGTAGAACGGCAAATTGTCATTGATGACAGAAAGAGATCTTTTTGTAAAGAACAAAAAAGCTACACATTTCACACAAAGTTGTTTGAAACAGTAGAAGTAGTGTTGAAAATGAAGACGGTCAGTATTGTGTTTGTGGTTAGTGGAACATGTTGATAGTTAAAGTGAAGAGCTACAGCTGTGGATCTTCTGCTTAGGACACCGGTGTGAACGCCATACATCGTATAAGACTAAAAATCACAAAACATCTGCTGATTCTAAAACCATGGTAAAGAAAAGTGGTATTAGTGAAGAGACTAGATCTTACAGCATTTGAGACATACAGATATATTAACCCTATAGTTTTGTATCATACAGACATTTGTGAATACCGATAATTATTTTAGATCAAAGCCTGACATCAAGATTGAGCCTAGTGCTGGAAGACCAGTTGATTTCCAAGTATGTAGAACGGCAAATTGTCATTGATGACAGAAAGAGATCTTTTTGTAAAGAACAAAAAAGCTACACATTTCACACAAAGTTGTTTGAAACAGTAGAAGTAGTGTTGAAAATGAAGACGGTCAGTATTGTGTTTGTGGTTAGTGGAACATGTTGATAGTTAAAGTGAAGAGCTACAGCTGTGGATCTTCTGCTTAGGACACCGGTGTGAACGCCATACATCGTATAAGACTAAAAATCACAAAACATCTGCTGATTCTAAAACCATGGTAAAGAAAAGTGGTATTAGTGAAGAGACTAGATCTTACAGCATTTGAGACATACAGATATATTAACCCTATAGTTTTGTATCATACAGACATTTGTGAATACCGTCCAGATACAGTACCGCATATTTGTGTGTCATGCCCCACTTTCCAGATCAGTGTCACTGTGATTGAGGCCAGACAGCTGGTGGGTCTGAACATGGATCCAGTGGTGTGTGTAGAAATCGGTGATGAAAAAAAATACACCTCAATGAAGGAGTCGACCAACTGCCCTTACTACAATGAGGTATGTTCCTTTTTAATTTAGGATTGCAGTATTAGCAAAATAGCAAAATAATGATCACAACAAATAACTGAACTCAAAAAATAATCACATCAAACCAATTGTTCATCTTAAAGGAACAGTTCACCCAAATATGAAAATGAGCTGAAGATGCGCTCACCCTCAGGCCATCCGAGATCAGGATGAGTTTGTTTCTTCATCAGGTTTGTAGAAATGTAGCATTGCATCAGTGTCTCATCAATGGATGCTCTCCCGTGAATGTTTGCCGTCAGAATGAGAGTCCAAACAGCTGATAAAAACATCACAATAATCCACAGCACTCCAGTCCATCAGTTAACATCTGGAGAAGACAAAAGCTGAAACAAATCCATCAAGACGTTTTTACCTTCAAATCATTTATTCAGTCTACAATACGAGTCTATAATCCATAATAAGGCTTCCTCCAGTGAGTCAGTGTTCTGGTGTGAATCAGGAGAGAAATCTGCACAGATCAAGCAGCGTTTAAACAGCTCTAAACACATATGTGTGTGGATTTTGATGTGAGAGACAACAGGAGATGCACTTTTTCACTGGAGGATGAGTTATTATGGATTATGGACTCGGATTTTAGCCGGAAGCAACCGTTTGAAAAAGGTCTTGATGGATTTGTTTCTAACAGCTTTTGTCTTCTCCAGATGTTAACTGATGGACTGGATTGGTGTGTATTATTGTGATGTTTTGATCAGCTGTTTGGACTCTCATTCTGACGGCACCCATTCACTGCAGAGCATCCATTGCTGAGACAGTAGGCGCGTTTCCATTACCCTTCAAATTGCACAAATAGAAATTGCGAATTGAAAATACGCCTAATGGAAATGCGTCAATTTCGCAAAAACGCCCAAATATCGCAAAAAAGTTTTTACGCTCGCACGAGGTGGTTTTTCAGGCAATGCGAAAAAGGAATAATTCGCAAAACTGCAATGGAAACGGCTTTTTTCGCATTTACAGGTCACATGGCGTATGTAAAAAGTCATATGATCATTCTTCAATGTACTATAACAGGGATCCTCAAATCTGGCCCACGAGATCCACTTTCCTGCAGAGTTTAGCTCTAACCCTAATCAAACACACCTGAGCATGCTAATCAATGTCTTCAGGATCATTCCATAATCACAGGTAGGTGAGTTTGATCAGGGTTGGAGCTAAACTCTGCAGCGCATTGGCCCTCCAGAGCAAGATTTGAGGAACCCTGTACTATAACCTCTAGAAACACATCATAAGTGGCCGCTCTCCAGTATAAGGGGCTTTCCCTACCATTAATGCTTAGACAATTTACACCGCACACAGTGTGCAGTGTGGCTCTGATACGGTCACTGAAGCTGATCGCGGCTACAATGCTTGTGTTTATTCCAGAATCCAGCCGCGCCACACACGTTTCTGAAGCGGCTCGCTGTGCTGCTTCTGGAAAGATACACGCTTACGCCTCCTTTGAATAAATATAGCCAAAATCCCACCAAAAACCGCTGCCATGACTTATCGCAAGAGGCAAAAGGTTACGTTTTAGTCGATTTTAGCCGGAAGCAACCGTTTGAAAAAGGTCTTGATGGATTTGTTTCTAACAGCTTTTGTCTTCTCCAGATGTTAACTGATGGACTGGATTGGTGTGTATTATTGTGATGTTTTGATCAGCTGTTTGGACTCTCATTCTGACGGCACCCATTCACTGCAGAGCATCCATTGCTGAGACAGTAGGCGCGTTTCCATTACCCTTCAAATTGCACAAATAGAAATTGCGAATTGAAAATACGCCTAATGGAAATGCGTCAATTTCGCAAAAACGCCCAAATATCGCAAAAAAGTTTTTACGCTCGCACGAGGTGGTTTTTCAGGCAATGCGAAAAAGGAATAATTCGCAAAACTGCAATGGAAACGGCTTTTTTCGCATTTACAGGTCACATGGCGTATGTAAAAAGTCATATGATCATTCTTCAATGTACTATAACAGGGATCCTCAAATCTGGCCCACGAGATCCACTTTCCTGCAGAGTTTAGCTCTAACCCTAATCAAACACACATGAGCATGCTAATCAATGTCTTCAGGATCATTCCAAAATCACAGGTAGCTGAGTTTGATCAGGGTTGGAGCTAAACTCTGCAGCGCATTGGCCCTCCAGAGCAAGATTTGAGGAACCCTGTACTATAACCTCTAGAAACACATCATAAGTGGCCGCTCTCCAGTATAAGGGACTTTCCCTACCATTAATGCTTAGACAATTTACACCGCACACAGTGTGCAGTGTGGCTCTGATACGGTCACTGAAGCTGATTGCGGCCACAATGCTTGTGTTTATTCCAGAATCCAGCCGCGCCACGCACGTTTCTGAAGCGGCTCGCTGTGCTGCTTCTGGAAAGATACACGCTTACGCCTCCTTTGAATAAATATAGCCAAAATCCCACCAAAAACCGCTGCCATGACTTATCGCAAGAGGCAAAAGGTTACGTTTTAGTCACATAACTTTGGTTAATGGAAACGCCATTTCGCAATATTTTTATCGACATTTATAAAATGTCGCCAAAGTTTTGCACAAATCTGAAATGGAAACGCGCCTAGTGATGCAATGCTACATTTCTCCAAATCTAATGAAGAAATCTTGGATGGCCTGAGGGTGAACACATTTTCAGCAAATGTTCATGTTTTGGGTGAAGTACTCCTTTAATATTGCTAATTTAATGTTTTCATAAACTTTTTGCTTTTTTTAGTACTTTGTTTTTGACTTCCACGTTCCTCCTGATGTCATGTTTGACAAGATCCTGAAAGTGTCAGTAAGTAGCATCAAATATCAATTTTAAATGGACTTTCGGCTTTAAGCTTTGTTTTAAACGGTTTTAAAATAATGTGTCCATACAGGTTATCCACTCTAAGAATCTTTTGCGAAGTGGCACGCTGGTCGGGAGCTTCAAGCTTGACGTGGGCACAGTTTATACACAACCTGGTAACTGGTATTATCATGCTTCTCTATCCACCTTACTTTAAAACACAGAAGTAAGCTATTTTCTGTGAATGTGCAAGACGTACGCTTCATTAGCCACTATAGATAAATAACTAGAAAAATATTTGAGCTACAAATCAGTGTGTTTATGACTGATAATAATACCTGTTTGCAATATAAAACAGCATAATGGATTGTTTTTGTACTGGTAAAAGAAATAGAAACAACCGACACCGGAAGCCTTCGCCGCTCTTATGTTAAAAATAAGGTGGATAAAGCTCTGTTTCTAGACTAGACTAGAGAGTTTTTCTTTACATTTACAGAACATCAGTTCTTCCACAAATGGGCCACTTTATGTGACCCCGATGACATCACTGCTGGATGCAAAGGCTATGTCAAGTGTGACGTCGCAGTTGTTAAAAAGGGCGACACTCTGAAAACTCCACACAAAACAAATGAAACAGATGAGGATGACATTGAGGGGTAAAAAACAAAAACCCTTCCTACCTCGTTGCATGTGTTATTTGCAAAGGGAAGCATCACTGTTACTATTCCTTACCTTGAACAAAAACTCTAAACTCAAGTGTTCCCAGCATATTTTGACAGCCCTATGAAATAAATATTTACTTGTAGTTGTAGTATTTAATTCAAATGTGACATCTGAAATTCTAGTATTTTACCACCCAGATAATTCCATCCAACAATATATGGATTATTTAAAGGCGGTTCTATATGCAGAAACCCATCTCTCTTCTTTATTGATTTCGTTGTTGTTCCAGTAATCTTCTGTTGCCGGAAGACGTCCCAGCTGAGCGTCAATGGGCAAAATTCTACGTGAAAATCTACCGAGCCGAGGGGTTGCCCAAAATGAACACCAGCATTATGGCAAACGTCAAAAAAGCCTTCATTGGAGAAAATAAGGACTTGGTTGATCCGTATGTCCAGGTGCAATTTGCAGGACAGAAGGTGGGCAGAATTCTCACTAATGGTCATTTAGTAACATTTGAAAATATAATCGAGTTTAATGATGGAAAATAAATGTAATCATTAAACAAAACACATTTTACACAATATTCAAAGTTCACTGAATAACATTTTAAAAATTAAGACTCTGGAATGACCAGTTCGGTTAAAAACCATGAAATCGCTGGTGAACACGGTTTCCTTTCCTGTGTTGATGCATTTCCTGTTGAAACAGGAAGTTTGAGTCATTAAGTGGGACATTTTGAAGACCTCGTCCAGTCCAGACAATTTATTACAAAAAAAAACAAAAAACAAAGTAACGCATTTGAACTACTTCCAAATAATATAATTTTTTAAATACACATTCACTCTAAATCATATGCTGAAAACGTTTGTTGTCTCATAACATTAAATTACAAGTAAGATGAATTGCTATTTTATATTTTCAATTCAGAATGGCAATATTTTTAAGTCCATCGAAAACAGTTGTCATATTAAATGTTTAACTACAGCCTACATGTAATAAGAGTCCACTGCATGCAAGTTATGATGAGTTTTATTAAATCCCAAGAGTGAGCAGATAAACAATAAACACAGGCATGACTTGACGAAACATGAACATAGACATGGACACAACTCACCAACAGTAGTTACAAACAACAAAGCTAGACAGAAAACAATGGCAACATGAGGGCTATTTACACACAAGACTAAATGACTAAACAAGGAACACCTGTGAACAATCAAGACAATGAACCAATCACAAAACAGAACTAAGAACCACATGACCAAATCAACCAATAAGAACACGACACATAGTTGCAACTCTTCAGAACAGTGTGTTCAACGCACCCCCGTTTTTTTCTGTTTAAAAAACGTTTTGCACCGTTTTGTCGGGGCTGAACGCAGCCCTGGTTTGCCAACGTCAAAGAAGAAGAAGACAACCAATAGCAGGATTACATAAGGGCAAGGGAAACGCATGACAGGAACCGTCACTATGACAAAGACAAAATAAAAGACATGAAAACATGAACATAAACCAAAACCAAAAACCAACCATGAAACTACATCTTACCTTTGGGCCAGAAAAAGCACTCTAAAGTTCAGATAATTGCATTTAACATACATTTAAACTATTATGCATTTTCATTTAATTCTAAATAGCATGCAGTTTAGTGTCTGAAAACATTACATTCAGTTAATGTATATGATTTCCTTAATAAGTAGTCCTTTTAGGGGGAGGCATGAATATTTTTGATCCATTGATCCATGTCATCTATCCACAATGCAGGGAAAAACTTCAATTCAGAAGAGCAGCTATGAGCCGATCTGGAATGAGCAGATCGTTTTCACTGAGCAGTTTCCACCTCTGTGCCGGAGAATGAAAGTCCAGATCCGCGATTCGGATAAAGTGAACGATGTGGCCATCGGAACGCACTTCATTGACCTGCGGAAGATTGCTAATGATGGAGACAAAGGTAACAGGGCTTCCTGAACACCTCTGCAAAGTCTGCAAAAGTAATACACTAACGTGCAAAAGTCTGGAATAATGAAATATAAGCACCCAATAACTGAATAATTATAATTGAATAATAAATCTGCCAGCAATTTATTTGATACAGTAAAAACAGTAATATTTTGAAAATGTATTACAATTTAAAATAGCTGTTTTCTACATGAATATATTGTTAAAATGTAAAGTATTTCCGTGATCAGAGCTGTATTTTCAGCATCATTACTCCAGTCTTCAGTGTCACATGATTCAAGAAAGAAAACTTACCAAAAAAAAGTTTGTTTTTACTATCACTTTTAATAATTTAATGCGTCCTTGCTGATTGCTAATCTGTATTGATTGACTGATTGATTGCTTTATTATTATTAATAAATCCTACTTAACCCAGTGTATCACCGTTTCCACAAAAATAAGCACCACTCTTTTCAGCACTGATTATCAGAAATGTTTCTTGAGCAGCAAAGCAGCATAATATACTGATTTCTGAAGATCATGTGACACTGAAGACTGGAGGAATGATGCTGAAAATACAGCTGCGCATCACAGGAATACATTACAGTTTAACAGAGATTCACATAGAAAATAGTTATTTTAAATTGTAATAATATTACTGTATTTTCACATGGCCTTACTGAGGATAAGAGACTTCTTCAAAAGCATTAAAAACTCTTAATTACTTACAAACTTTTGACCGGAAGTATATTTCCTTGTTGTTTATCACATGTTGCTCTGGATACTCAATCACATAAGCCATCACTACATTGCTGTTCAAGATCAGTATTAAACCATTTTCAAATATTATCAAAAGGTAAAAGATTTAAAAAGTGATCCTGTTTCTATTGCTAGGCTTTCTTCCGACTCTTGGGCCGGCTTGGGCCAACATGTACGGCTCCACACGCAGCTACACGCTCATGGACGAGTACCAGGACCTGAATGAAGGACTAGGGGAAGGGGTTTCGTTCAGGGCCCGGCTGCTGATCAGTCTGGCCGTGGAGATACTGGACACCTCCTCTGCTGAAGTAATGTGCTCCACTGAGGTGCAGGTGGAGGGAGTTCCCAACATCTCAGATGTAAGCGATCCATAGACGGGGGATTCAATACAATTACAGTGAATAATTAATTGTCTTTATTTATCTCCGTACATTATTCATTTAGCTGTAATACTCATAGTAGTTCTTTGTGTGCAAGACAATCATCTGCACAGTCAGAGCCAAAGTTATGCTTCATTCTGCATGTGACTTGCTGTTAAAAATTAATCAGTTTGAGAAAACAGATCTGTTTTGAATTGTTTATGAGCACTGTGACATCATGTTTTGTCTAATCTTAGGAAACCCCCCATACACTGAAAACAAAAAAGAAACACTCAGAAATTGCTAGTAAATTTCACAATTAATTACAAAGAAATGGCAAGTAGTGCACTGGATTAAACATGAAATTTAAATTAAATGTTAATTTAATTAACGTAGATAGACTGAAATAGCATTTTCTTGTCAAGCATACTCTACTAAACGTTTTATTTACAACAAAGTGTATTCACAAAACATTTAATCAATTGTTTGTTGCTTATATCTAGAATGCCACAGGAAAAATTGAGGAGTTCTTTCTCTTTGGATGTTTCCTTGAGGCCACTATGATTGACAGGAAGATTGGAGACAAACCCATCAACTTTGAGGTTACAATAGGTAAAATCTATGGTAGACTAGTTAACCGCCTTTAAATTGAGGTCACCAGTTGCTCACCATTCAGAATGCTACTGAATTCTTTTAAACTTTCAAAGAAATGTATGTTACTGCTGTGAGTGTACTTTTTAATAATACATTTAATATGAATGACACCAGTTCAATATTAGATCAACCATACACAAGGCATATAGACTAACTCCTGAAATGTTGCAGTAGATGATATTAATAATCAGTGCTTGAAATGCCATCTCTCCAAGTCAACCTTCTTATGTTCAGGTTGATTCAATATAAATTCAAACTCATTCAAACTCAAACTTATCCAATTTTTTACATGCAAAGACCATTAACTGGCTTTAAAGGAATAGTTGACCCAAAAATAAAAAGTTTGCTGAAAACGTACTCATCCTCAGGCCATCCGAGATATAGATGAGATTTTTTTTTGTTCATGAGATCAGGTTTGGAGAAATGTAGCACTGCATCAGTGTCTCAGCAATGGATGCTCTGCAAGTGAATGGGTGCCGTCAGAATGAGAGTCCAAACAGCTGATAAAAACATCACAATAATCCACAAGTAATCCACAGCACTCCAGTCCATCAGATAACATCTGGAGAAGACAAAAGCTGTGTGTTTGTAAGAAACAAATCCGCTTTTAACTTCAAACTGTTGCTTCAGGCTAATCCATAATACGCTTCCTCCAGTGAAAAAGTGTTCTGGTCTGAATCAGGAGAGAAATCTGCACAGATCAAGCAGCGTTTAAACAGTCCAAAACAGCTCTAAACAAATACAATTCAAAGACTGAAATTGTATTTTTTGGTTAAACATAATCCAATAATCTTTCTTTTATTTACCACTTGAAAAAATCATATTTTATAGTGCACACTTCACTTTTATGCAAGTAATGAATTATTCTGGGAAGTGTGTCAGACACCTACTACATCATTACGCTATCCTCTCAAATCAAGGAAACTATGGCAATGAACTCGATACTCCAACCAAGCCAAAAACAAAGAAGAGGAAGGGTGGCGATGACGAGGAGTCTGAGCTCATTCACGGCTCTAGTGACGAAGAGGTGGATGATGGTGGAGATATGACCTCAGTTTCCAGCACTCCTCCAATGAAGCCAGTCATCACTGACAGGTTGAGTTACTCAACATGTACTGACCTAAAACTCATTTATTTATGTTATTTTGCATTTTGGTGCAAATTCATGTATAATATCCGGTTTATTTGTCTGCAGAAACTATTTCCACCTCCCGTACTTTGAGAGGAAGCCCTGCATTTTTATCAAGAGCTGGTGGCAGGACCAAAGAAGACGGCTTTATAATGCAAACATCATGGACAGAATTGCAGATAAATTGGTAATGAATCAGTGAATATAGCTTATATTAGTTAGTTTCTGAAATATGTATCTTTTTACCATTCTCTACACATTCTTATTTTTGTTTCAACCATTTTGTACCACTATTTATTTCATTTTTATTTCATTTTACTCTAAATAAATAAATCTTCAGGCAAGACAATACAGATGAATAGGGTAAACATTTTAACCAAAAGATAAGACCATACTTCCCCTGTTGATGAAACACAGTACATTAAGACAATTGTTTTGTATTACAACTTTTCTGAAATGTTATGTATAAAAAAGCAAACGAGACATTTTCTGATGAAATATGCACTAATTTATTTCCAGAACAGAAATCTGAACATTGGATAAAGCCAGGTTCAAATTCTCATTTCATTTTGTTGACATTATAGAAATATTATTATATATGTATTATGTCTTGTAGAGAGATTATTGTAATTAAAATCTACAGATGCAAATAGATCAAGCGCAAACAAATAAACACTAAAGTGTTTATTTTGGATACTTTCTTTCCACTAGTCTGAAAGAAGTCAAGTTATGGAAGCAAATTAGCCCAAAATCTCAAAATTGACTAGTGCATGATAAAACAAACAAAGGGTTTTCTTACCTTAAATTCCATTTACATCATATTTGTCATTTAGTATACAATAATAATCCTGGTTACAGTTAATCTGTGAAAATGCATCTATACGTTGACATTGCAGCTTGTGTTCTCTATCATATTATAGGAAGAAGGGTTAAACGATGTGCAGGAGATCATTAAAACAGAGAAAGCCTATCCTGAGCGCAGACTCAGAGGAGTCCTGGAGGAACTCAGCATTGGCTGCAGGTTTATATACGGTTTATATATGTTACTCTGAGCCAGTTATGAGTGGTTCTCTGGAAACAGTGCTATTTGTGCTCCATTTGTGTCCTGTGATTAAACGGTGCAGTAAGCGTTTTCTAAGAACCACTTGACTGGTTAATGCATATGGTGGGTAGTAAAGCATGATTTCTTGATCATTCAGAAGTAACATTTTTTAATGAATTGGAAAAAAAACTTACATTTTGAGGCACAACTGGCACAATATTTTCACAAAACTTTATTCAACTGTCTATGACGGAGTAAAGATACTAATGGATTTCTTATCTCTTTCAGTACCTTTGTAACTTTAGCAAACAATGATCAGAATCAGACTGGGAAGACTAAACTGGACCGGGAGAGACTGAAATTATGCATGCAGGAATTGGTAAAAGCAGCTCTTACTAACAAATATTAAGAGTAACTAATGTTAAAATCTGATTCCGGTGGCTTATTTTTGTGTCTGTTGCTAAAGCCTGTTGTTATTTTTTCAGGAAAACATGGGCCAGCAAGCAAAGAATATGCGATCCCAAGTAAAGAAAAGCAACGTGAAAGACAAAATAAAACTGGCACAAAACTTCCTCCACAAGCTGAGATTCTTGTCTGATGAGGTAGTGCACAAGACCTGATAAAATACAAATATGCTTGGTTATGTGGCCATATAGATGTATTCATGTAAATTCTTTTGTTTTTTCATCATAGCCTCAGCATAGTGTTCCAGATATTTACATATGGATGATAAGCAACAACAAACGCATTGCATATGCCCGCGTTCCCTCCAAAGACATCCTCTTCTCTTCTGTGGATGAAGAAACCGGAAAGGACTGTGGGAAAGTCCAGACCACCTTTTTCAAGGTTAGGATGAATGCAAATTCTGAAAATGTCTTAAAACATTTTATGTCAGAATACTTATCTTGAAAGGGGCCATATCATTTAATTTTCCTTGATGTATTATGAAGACAACTCAAAACTTTTTAACTAAGCTGCCAAAACAGCTTGTGATGAATGTATCAGTGTGGCTGAATCTAGTTTATTTGCAAAAAGATTCCTGATCATTTCAGTCCGCTCTGAACAGTTTTACAGCACATTTCAGCACAGATTGATTTATGAATCAGTCACAATGTGATGAAAGAAGCTGTTATTAAAGAATGGAGCAGAACGTCCCGGATACGCATGTAACAGAGATGTTACATCAACTGACGTATGGGATCCCTATGGAAAGTGCCACAACCACTAAACTGAAGTGACAACTGCCATCCCACGTTGTAACCTACACAGCGCCTCGTTGTGAGCCAGATAGTCTTTCATACCGAGAACGGGATCGAAAGAACAGTACGAAGAGGGATACATCAGCTGTTCCTTAGCCTGAGTTTTTGACTTTTACACAACAAAAAAGAGTGCTTCAGCTCTTTATCATTCTGATGAGGGTACAGCCACAACCAGTTGTAAAATACTGGGTAAGTGTGCCTTAGTCTGTGTGGATAGGGACGCTACAGAGATCACATCCTACAGTATCTGAAGGGGGGTAACATGGAGAGTACATATATGGACTGACCAGCAGGGCAGTACTACATATGGAAGAGTCACTGTGGTATGTTCTGCTACTACCGATGCAGAGAATTGCTTACAATGAATAGTAAGGAATTCTGTTAAGGGAAAGACACAGGTTAACCAACAGGGAAACCGTACCATGGATGAATACACACAGCAAATACACACGGAAATTAATACACACTGCTTCAGGGCACAAGCCTGCCTAGAGGGGGCTCTGGCCTGAGTCATAGTGGCTATCACTGCCTGTGACTGACCACTTAAGTCCCTGTTTCCCGTCCATAAGCCACACATGGAGATTCCAAAGATCTAGATGCAGGTGCCAAATTGTGCCCTGCCCCTGAGAAAGAAGGTCCTTCCTCAGGGTAATTCGCCAAGGAGGGGCTGTCTCGAGGGGCATCAGGTCCAAGAACCTGGTCTGGGTGGGCCATTAGAGCATAACCATCAAGGCCTGCACCTCGTCCTCCCTGATCTTGCACAGGGTCTGTGCAAGGAGGCTCACTGGGAGAAGTAACGGTCGAAACCAGTGCAGGGTCAGCAGTACTGCCAGAAACTCAAGGCAATTTATATTCCACTGCAGTCGTGGTCCCATCCAGAAGCCCAGCGCTGCATACACATTGCCCACAGAACCTCAGCCTGTTCTGGAGGCACCTGTTGTGACAACAACATGCCTGGACACTTGTTCTAAGGGCACTCCTGCCCGTAGAAAGGTAAGGTTTGACTAGGGGCTGAAAGTCTGGCAACAATTTTGTGTGATGGCCATATGGAGTGTGCCATGGTGCCATGCCCATCTTGGGACTCGGCTGTGTAGCCAGTGCTGAACTGGTCCCATACACATCAATCCGAGCTGCGTTACCATGGCTGTGGATGGCATATGACCCAAATGCCTCTGAAATTGTTTCAGCAGAACCGCTATTTTCCCCCTGAATAAATTCAGGCAGTTCAGCACTGATTAGGCATGCTGAGAAAAGAGATGCTCTGACTGGGGGAGAGCTTGCTCTTCTCCCATTTGCACCGAAGCCCCAACTGGCTGAGGTGCCAGAGCACCAGGTTACTGTGCTTGTACAACAGATCTCGAGAGTGAGCTAGAATGAGCCAGTCATCAAGAGTTGTGGATATAGATGACCACTTTTCCTTTAATGGGTCAAGGGCACCCTATACAACTTTGGTGAAGACACGGGGAGACTGGTACATCCCGAAGGGGAGGACTTTGTACTGGCATGCCTGACCCTCGAAAGCAAACCGAAGAAGGCAAGATTAAGTGTGGAGTAACACTTACCCTGCTCCCTGGATCCTGTGAAGGGCTTGATAGAGCTGCGTGAGGAAGCAGTGCATCCTTGAGGTGTGACCTCTTGGCCTGTTTCGAAAGGAGAGGATGAGGCTGAGAGTGAGGAAGCATTGCGTCACACACTGCCAGACTGTGTTGAGTGTGTCTGGACTGCTTTGCTGTCTGCTTGGAGGGCTGCCTGGGTGACAGGCTGTGTCGCATTGCTGTGGGAGGCTTGACATTGCGGCTGAGGTGTAACATCAGGCTGCACCAAAGCAGATGTAGACACCGCAGGGGGATACCCTTGGCATCAAGCAGACTGGGGGCCAGCCCATGCTGGGGCAAGATGTGTTTGATGGTCTCTGTCTGCTTCTGGACTGCCAAGAATTGCTGGACAAAGTCCTCAGTGTCACCGATAAGGCCAGCCACTGAGATGTGGGCATTGAGAAAGCAAACCTTGTTGGTGTCCCACATCTTAGCAAGGTTGAGCCAAAGATGTCACTCCTGTGGACTCTGTCCCCTTCTCTGATGCCGCGATTGACATCTGGTCCTCCCCTGGAGCTCCAAATGATATGTTTTCATTTTAAGACATAACAAAAAATCAAACACCCTGTAATAAAACATTAAAACTCACTAATCTGGAGAGAAGATCTCAAAGAAAGAGCAAAGGATACCACCTAGCCCAAATTTCCCCCTTGCTTAATCCTGAACCCATCTCCCCCTTTCCCTCTTCTCCCCCACCAGGCTCAAGTCATTAAAAATTCAAAAATTCACAAGATTGTCTTTATAGAATATATGATTTATCTTGCGAATCTATTATTTTTACCCTTTCAAGTGTGGTGTCATTTTAAATGTCTCAGTGTGATTGGTAAAATGGTCTCAATTTCACAGGGTCTCTGGTGAGATTGTTTTACGATCTCTGACCAGGTGTGACTCTTGGGTCATGGAATCCTTACCAACCAAAGATCTTCTGTTTTACAACTTAGATTTGAAGATTTCTTTTCTTTGTGGTCTGGGTATTTAAGGGAATGTGGCAAGTAAATCATTGGGATTCTGTAACCAGAAAACCCCCGCACAGTGTATGTAAGTCTCTGGAGCTCTGCATCCTGGACACTCACATGCTGTGTATCTCTCTGCTGTCAGGTATGCATCTCTCACTCTTAGATTCATCTTTGAGCAATAAATGTTATGTATTTATAATTTCTGAATTGGATTCTAATTATGCAATTAGCATGATACATTCTTACCTGACAAATAAAATGTAAAATTCGATTTATTCTCCTGAAATCATTATGACTTTTGGCGCTTTTCCACTGCATGGTATGGCACGGCACAGCTCGCTTTTGGGAGGTTTCCACTGTGTACAGTACCTGATACCTAGTACTTTTTTCAGTACCACCTCGGCTGAGGTTCAAAGCGAGCCGTACCATTACCAAAATGTGACGTGTAAACCCTGCTGATCACTGATTGGCTGGAGAGAATTGCTACTACCTGCGTCATTGGACTTGCGACACAAGACCACTAGACCAGCTAGATTAAATCAGCACAGCCAGCGAAGATCGAACGCAACTTTATTTGAGTTGAACACACCTTTTTTAAAACAAAAAATATAATGGCTGTCTTGCAGTTAAAAACATCCACATGCCGAGAATGAAGAACACCATTCCATGGATATGCTCCATTGTTGTTTGTTTGTTTGTGTCACGTTTACGATGATGTCACGGCAGTAGAGGTGGCGCAACTTTAATGACATGTCTATAATTCTGCCCACTCTGAAGCGGTACTAAACTGCAATGGAAACGCAAACCGAGCTGAGCCGAGCCGAGCCATACCATGCAGTGGAAAAGCTCCATAGTAGATAATGTGGAGTCTGTTGCTACCTCAAATCTGTGTCTAGGATAGATCAAACTGAGGGCCCAATGAATGGAGCATGTGGTACTCCATGTGGGACCTTTTGATTTCTGTCTATCACTGACTTAGCAACTTGTAGTAACATGACTAAGAAAACTACACTTTTTGTATGAGCAAACATGTTGTAGCCAACTTAAAGGTATTAGTTAATTTACACTCCCAGACTAAGATCAGAACTGTCAAGTTTGTGATTGTGAGATCCATGACCTCCAGCCGGCATGAGACTCTGTGCGGCACTGGGTCCCTAATGAACAAATAATTGAAAGTATAGGTTGTCCAGAATAATCAAATATCTAAATTCAGCCACATATAATCTTATGATCAGCTGTTAATCAGTAATGTAGTCAAATTTGAACAATCACTTAAAGATTGGAGTCAGATTAAACACAGAGCTACAATAAAATTGAAACTCTATCCTAATAAATTAAGTGAACTTTGTAGAAGCACAAATAAAAGACCAACACGCATTGTACCTTCACCCACACTGTTGGAGTCCGTCATTGGGCCAATAGGTGGTCCATTGGGCGGCAATTTCCTTTGGGAGTTCGATGGCAAGCAGCATCGAAGAATAGTGGGAAGTCCGTGAGGACTGGCCTGGCGGAAATGTTGTAAGATCGCATACTTCGAGTGCTAACTGTGCTAACCGGTCCGCGCTGGGTAGCAGCAAAGGGGGTTTCCCCCACCACAAGAAGTGAGAGCCGAGACATCTGCATTGCCATGGTCATGGTCTCACAATGGATCAACGATCGTGACCATTAGAGGGGGTCAGGAAACGACCGCATCCAGAAACACTTGGACGAAGAGACATCTTTAAAAAGACACTCTTGTCCGTGTTGCTCTCTTAGAGAAACTGCTCTTTTATGCTGAAGTGCCCAGGGAGGAATCACAGCACTTATTTGTGCTAACAGTCGGCGAAACAGTTGAATGCTGTAGAAGGATCTTCCTGTTAAAGAGGGCTTCCCGACCTCACTATACAACTCATGAGGTGAATGGATGAGTGACTGCTGTAGAGATGCAACCAGTAGCCTCATTTCACATGTGAAGGCACAGCAGCATTAAACAAATTCTTTAAATTTAAAGGGTTGAAGAGGTTCACAAAAAATAATTTATGACCTAAAAAAATGAATAACAAAAATATATGATACCTTTAATTGGCTTTTCTAAACATCTACTTGATATACTTTAACGACAAGTACTAATTTACTTTCTTTTACTATTTTTCTTCTCTTTTTAGCTCCCTGGTAAGAAAAGCTTTGGACCTGCAGGCTGGACCGTTCAGGCTAAAACTGAGCTGTATCTGTGGCTCGGCTTGAACAGGCAGCGTAAGGACTACTTGAGCGGCCTACCAAATGGGTTTGAGGAGAACAAGGCAGTAAAAGGGCCTGGCATACAGTCCACACCCCCCATCAGCCTGATGTACACCAGTAAGATACCAAAGAACTTATATGAGTGACCTCAGATTGTCTGTGTAATAGTCAGTGATAATAACTCTTTTATTGTATGCTAACAGTGAAGCAGATCTTCCAGCTGAGGGTTCACATGTATCAGGCTCGCAGTCTGTTTGCGGCCGACAGCACGGGCCTGTCAGACCCCTTTGCCAGGGTATTTTTTTCTACTCACAGCCAGGTCACAGAGGTGAGAAAAAAGCTTCATGCAAGCTTACTATTGACATTTGACCTCTGTGAGTGAATTTTTTGCATATGAACCAATCTGAACCCAATTTGAAAGACTTGTTATACTTCTTGAGCATGTTTCTCCATATTTATTTATATTTATTTATTTCAAATATTTTATAATTAAACTTTATTGAAATAGGTATTAAAGACAAAATATGAATGTATTCATGTCACATATGAATATATAATTCATATTATATATTGAATAAATTCTGTGAAATTGAGTATTCTTCAACTAATGAAAGTCAATTCATTGAATATTTATAGGTGGCATTTCAAACATGATGATTATTAATATATTTATATTTAATTATTAATACCCTATGTATTGTGTGTATGATGAGAGGTTAAAAGATAATTGAATCCGAAAATAAAATGTATTAGTAGTATTTTTTTTTTTATATGATTTAATATTATATGATACAATTAATATTTGCAAAAATACCATTAAAACTAAATATTGAATTATATGAATTTACAGTATATGCATGTGCATTTAATTTATTTAAATTAAAATTCCACATCCTGTTTGCTACATCAAACATAGTTTAATGTTATATGATAAAATGAATAGGATAAAAAATTACATGTAAAACAGTTGAATTTGAGCATATGAATTCATTCTACATACTTAAATTGACATTTAGATTTTTACATCAACTCAAATTCATTTCGAATTTAGATTCGCAATTCAATTCTAACGGTGCAAAACCCAGAACCCTTTTTGTCAGCACCATCAGTTCACAACCAGCCGAGAGAAAAGTGTCTTCTCATAGCATTGAACATACAATAGCACTCGATGGGCTTGAACTAAAATATTTACTGAGAAAACGTTGTTTGGTGCTGCTTTACTGCTTGAGCTGTTTGAGATATCCACACCAAACCTACTGCATAAAGAAGTTAGAAGGAAGGCGTAATAAGCTGATTATTTCCTCTCAGGTCCTGAATGAGACGTTGTGTCCTACATGGGATCAGCTGCTGGTGTTTGATAACGTGGAGCTCTATGGTGAGGCTGGTGAACTGAGAGATGATCCTCCTATAATCGTCATCGAGATCTATGATCAGGACACTGTCGTGAGTGCTGATATCCTTCGAATTATTAATTTCCTTCTGCTTTTCATGCTTTCACCTCCATAAATGTGGTTAATCTCATTCTACTTCTCAAGGGAAAAGCCGATTTCATGGGTAGGACATTCGCTAAACCTATAACCAAGATATCAGATGAGCATTATGGGCCGCCACGCTTCCCTCCTCAACTGGAGTACTACCAGATCTACCGGGGAAACGGCACTGCAGGAGAAATGCTGGCGGCCTTTGAGCTGCTGCAGGTGCATCTGACAGGAACAAGAAACTGTTTAAATCTTAGTCTGTGTTTGTGCATGTATATATACTTCTGTATTGTGGAAATCATTCAGATTGGACCAGCTGGAAAGGCCGACCTGCCCCCAATAGATGGACCTTCAGATATCGATCGTGGTCCAATCCTGCCTGTTCCTATTGGCATAAGACCTGTCTTGAGTAAATACCGAATTGAGGTGAGTTGCACTTAGTAGAACAGCTACAGGGCCGACCCAGAATCTGACCTACAATCTTAAAAATCGTGGTTCTTTATTGCCAGCAATAATGTCATGAAGATCCTTTAACATCCATGGACATCTCCATTTCACAAAAGGTTCTTTATAGTGGAAAAAGGCTCTTCAGATTATTAAAATGTTCTTCACACTAAGAAAAAAATGGTTGTTATAAGAACTGTTGACTGAAAGGTTCTGTGGGGAACCAAAATGGTAATCCCCTCACCCAATGCTTTTTAATATTATTTTCACATTTCTTGTACATTTTAAAATGGTATTGCAGAGAGGTGTGCAGTTATCATAAGAGAGCACACTTCTGACCAAAAAAAAGAATTAATAATAATAAATAAATATGTAATCACAGGTGTCTTGCCTATTCAACCTCCATTTGTGTCAAATAAATGGAACTTCTAAAAACAAAAATAAATATTTTTAATAAAAATATCATATTTTTATATTTGATAAGTAACAATTTAACAACGCCCCAAAGTTGTCGAAATTAGTTCAAATTTTTATTAAATATTTATTTGTCAATGCAACACAACTAAAGAGTTTTAGCGTTAAATGAGATAGGCGTTATATATACATTTTAATGTCAGGTTTTTGTAAAAATGTCAAACTCTGTGTGGACTAGGGAAACTGTGCGGCACATTGCTCTGAAAGACTATAGAGAACAGCTTCTTATTCACTAAATGTGTTTCCAGATACAAAGATGAGTGCAGCAATGGATGTCCATGCTGATGGTTTAAATTCATTTGTTTCTATAAGCTATCGAATATGTGGTAGCCTGAACTGATGCAGGTTTGCTTGGTTTATTATAAAAATGTATATGATATCAGGATTTTAACCCAGCCCTAATGCATACTTCGAAATTGTACTAGACTAAATATCATGACTCACAGCCAGAACTGTCACTGGTGCCCCATCAACAATACTAGGAGCATGATGCCCCTGTATGCCAGAGTTCACCCCTGTACAGCTATTATATATATATATATAAAAAACTTTGCATCACATTAAATTAACAAAACATTCATGCAGGTTCTCTTCTGGGGCCTGAGGGACTTGAAGCGAGTGAATCTGGCTCAAGTAGACCGCCCCCGCGTGGACATCGAGTGTGCAGGGAAAAGCATTCAGTCAGTGCTAATTCAGAACTACAAGAAAAACCCCAACTTCAGCACTCTGGTGAAGTGGTTTGAAGTGGTGAGGCTTTTGCACATTTATATCTCAGAAAGTATGAGACATTTTCAAATTGATGTTGATTGTACTACAGACATTGGAAAATGTTCATGATTTTTCACCAGGACCTGCCTGAGAACGAGCTCCTCCATCCTCCTCTGAACATCCGCGTGGTGGACTGCCGGGCGTTTGGTCGTTACACACTAGTCGGCTCTAATGCTGTCACATCTCTACGCAAATTCATTTACAGGCCATCGGACAAAAGTGTCAGTAACTGGTCTGCCATGGGTGTGTATCCAGAGAAAACAGCTGTCAAACATGCATCTTCAGTTGATAAGCTTAAATGATTGTCTCATGGCAAAGATGTAGCCTTCATCTAAGAGCAATTATATAATAGCAATAATAATAGTCATAATAAATTTTTTTTATGAATTGAAATGGAAAAAATATTTGAACCTTTAGATTTAATAACTTGTGCAATTCACTACAATCCAGAATTCGGATTGCAGGACAGATGCAAACTATAATACACTCAAAATGTCCATATTTCACTACTGAATACATACCACCCATTGAAAGTTGGGAATGATTACGTTTTTAAGGTTTTGAAAGAAGTCTCTTCTGCTCAGCAAGGCTGCATTTATTTGATTAAAAATACAGTAAAAACAGTAATATTGTGAAATATGATTACAATTTAAAGGGATAGTTCACCCTAAAATGAAAATTAGCCCATGATTTACTCACCCTCAAGCCATCCTAGGTGTGTATGACTTTCTACTTTCAGACGAATACAATCGGAGTTATATTTAAAAATGTCCTGGCTCGTCCAAGCTTTATAATGGCAGTGAATGGGTGTTGAGATTTTGAAGCCCAAAAAAGTGCATCCATCCATCATAAAAAGTGCTCCACACGGCTCCAGAGGGTTAATAAAAGCCTTCTGAAGCGAAGCGATGTGTTTGTGTTAGAAAAATATCCATATGTAAAACGTTATCAACCGTAATCTCTAGCTTCTGCTAACTGTTGTACACGCGTTCACGGGAGAGTGGCGTTCAGTGGATGACGTAGGCGTAGGTGAGAATATGCTAGTTTCGCAAGAAACAAGTTTCATTTACAGCAAAGGAAAACCAGTCTCCTCTTGGCTTACATTGAAATCCTCCAACATTTTTCTTTATAAATCTTCGTTTTGTACTTCTAATTCATGACCGGTATTTAGTTTTTGTTTTGGTATTTTGTCATTTACATGTATAATAGTGAAAACCTTTATTAATAACTGAGCACTAATAATTAATAACATTTCTGAAGGATCATGTGACACTGAAGACTGGAGTAATGATGCTGAAAATACAGCTAATAAATTACATTTTAACAGATATTCACATAGAAAACAGCTGTTTGAAATTGTAATAATATTTCACACTATTACTGTTTTTACTGTATTTTTGATCAAATAAAAGCAGCTTTGCTGAGCAGAAGAGACTTCTTTCCTAAACGTTTGACCAGTAGTGCATATCTTCCTTTGATATTCCTTATTACCAAGCACAACTAACATCGTTTTTTCCTCTACAGAGGAGGTTGTGATCCACACAGAGCCAGAGCCAGCTGTGAAGAAGACCGAGACAGTGGTCAAACTCGACTCAGTAGGAAACGCTACAAAATACTTGAAATAAGTCTATTAACTGTATCAGTCAAACATTTGGACACGTTTGAATTTGTTCATTTTACTGAATCTGTTTCAGGCGTCTGATGCTGTGGTTAAAGTCGATATGGTATGTAGACAGATATCAGATCGGTTTCTCTCTTATTATGTCCAGTGCCTTGGCATTCATAAATGCATTAGTTGTATGTGTGAAAATGAATTCTGTGTCCTTAACATTGTGACAGCCAGATGATGAGAAAGGTGGGAAAGGGAAAAAGAAGCGGAAGAAGGGCGAAGAGGTGGAAGAGGAGGAGCTGGATGAAAGCATGCTGGACTGGTGGTCCAAATACTTTGCCTCGATTGAAACACTGAAAGAGGTAAGAGCTATAAAAGAGTGAAATGATTTCACATGCCTTTTACAGAAGACGCCTTGAAAATGCATGATTCAGTTGTTTGAACTGAGATTTTATTGTACTATTTATGAACGATTTAGATCATTAAAGCGCAGGAAGCAGAAGCTGAAGAAAAGGAAGATTTTGACTCTGGAGAGGGTGAGTCAACAATATGTTTGACAAAAATTTGTATAACTTTTAACTTGTTTAAAATATGCACATGCTAAGTCAGATAGGAGTTATGCATGCACGACTAAAAATAGCTGCCCAAGTGCATTTGTAATCTGAAATGACTTGCCTTTCAAGGGACTTTGTATAAGTTAATACTTTGATATTAGCATATGATATATAATTAAATGCATAAGACAGTTCATTATGTAAAACAGTATATCTCCATGAAAAATTTCAGTCTTTATAATTCATATATTTTTTTATGCAGTACACTCTAAAAAATGCTGGGTTAAAAATGGACTAACCCAGCTATTGGGTTGTTCTGAACCCAATCGCTGGGTCAAAACAACCCAATAGCTGGGTTTGTCCATTTTTTACCCAGCATTTTTTAGAGTGTACTACCCAAAAAATTCCAATTTGACTGAAATTACATAAATAACCCTGTTCAGAAGTTTGCACACCCTTGATTCTTTGCCCTGATTTCCAAATATGTTCCTAATGCCTCTGATATGAAAGGGAGCAAGAAGAAGAGAGGAAAGGGGAACAAGAACAAAGCCACGCCTGGGGAGGGAGCACCAGAGAAGAAGAAGCACAAAATCGAAGAGTTGAAGGTACTTTGGTCTTTAAAGGAATAGTTCACCTGAAAATGAAAATTTGCTGTAAATGTCCTCACCCAGCTAATATGATGAGTTTAGGAAATGTAGCATCGCATCAGTGTCTCAGCAATGGATGCTCTGCAAGTGAATGGGTGCCGTCAGAATGAGAGTCCAAACAGCTGATAAAAACATCACAATAATCCACAGCACTCCAGTCCATCAGTTAACATCTGGAGAAGACAAAAGCTGTGTGTTTGGACTGTTTGGACTCTCATTCTGACGGCACCCATTCACTGCAGAGCATCCATCGGTGAGCAAGTGATGCAATGCTACATTTCTCCAAATCTGTTCCAATGAAGAAACAAAAGAAACAAGATGTAATTTTTGGAACTATTCTTTTAATAGCAAAAGTCAATTTGAAAATGAAAGGCCTAGATGAAACGTTTGTCTCTTTGGAGAGCGTACGGGACGCCTCGTGGATGTAAAATAGATCTTGTTTTTCTCCATAGATGTTCAACAGAGAGCTTGAATATCAGTTTGACAGCTTTGAAGATTGGCTTCACACTTTCAACCTTTATCGGGGCAAGTGTTCGGATGATGCTAACGTCGAGCAGAATGCAGCTGATGAAGACAGACTCATTGGAAAATTCAAGGTTTGTTGCCACTCATTGCTCTCTCGCTTCTGACTTGCTGGTTCTCCATGTACTACTCAACCAGTCATACATTTGGACATGCTTTATTATTACTGTTTTCTACATGTTAGATTAATAGCAACATCATCAGGACTATGAAATAACACAAATGGAAATATGGGAATTATGTAGTGACCAAATCTAATCAGAACTAATGTTTTATTTGATACTCCATCAGAGTAGCTGCTCTAGTTTAGAGCTCTCACTTCAGTAATACATATTGAAAGAGTTCTCATGTATGCAACACTTGTTGATTATTAACTAAAAATATAGTTCTGCAAAAACATATTCATCGGCTGTGTTGCTTAGTGTCGTTGATATACTATTATAGGTTTTATTAATATTCAGAGTTAGTTTTCATTTTAATTTTAGGTAAAGTTTTAGTAAATTTGTTGTGTTTTTGTCATTTTTATTAGTTACTGTTTTATTTAAGTATTACGGGAATACAAAAAAAATCTTTATTTATTTTCTTAAGTAAAAGAATGAGAAAATAGCAGTTAATAAGAATGATATTCTTAAGAATGCTTCATGAATCTGGCTCCTGACTTCCACTCAATCCATTGTCTTTTTTCATGTAATATGTCAATATTTCAGACACATGTACAATATCCAAAGTTTAAACAAATCAACTGAATTGTTGTTTCTCCTGATCTTAAAAACCTTGTTTTAATCAAGACTTTTTTGTTTTGCATACAAAAATAGTGCCTAGGAACAGGGTTATTATTGCTAACTAAAGCTAAAATTACAACTAAAACCAAAAGAAATGTACCTTGAAATAAAATAAACATGAACTGAAATATAAAATATAAAGACTGTAAACTTCTTTTATTTCAGCTAGTTGCCAATGCAGCATTTCACATTTTCTTTTAGTTTAACTTAAAGTACTAAAATAACTAAAACTAGAATACAAATGATAAGAAATATTTAGACATTAAGAATGTTTTTATCTTTTTTTCTAGCTTGGTCTTAAGACAAAACTATGGGAACATTAAAAAAAAAAAGGTAATGATGACTTTTATCTCAAAATTCAGACTTTGTTTCTTGGAATTCTGAGAAAAAAGTCATAGTCAGAATTGTGAGAAAAAAAAAGATGCAATTACCATTTTTATTTTTTATTCCATGGGGTGGGAAAAAATGCAAGAAACTCAAAATTCAGAGATAAAAGTCAGAATTGTGAGATAAAGATGCAAAATTGTGAGATATTATAGTGGTAATTTTTAAAAAGAAAAGTCCAAATTATGAGAAAGTCAGAATTTCAAGAAAGTCAGAATTGTGAGTTTACATCCAGCAATTCTGTGGTTCTTTCTGCTTATAATTGTGAGATAATCACAATTGTAAATTTAAGTTAAAACTTCAATCCAATTTGGCTTAAATATTCAAAGTCTTAAGTCGCTGGGGGATATTTGTAGCAATAGCCAACAATACATTGTATGAGTCAAAATTATAGCTTTTTCTTTTATGCCAAAAATCATTAGGATATTAAGTAAATATCATGTTCCTTGAAGATATTTTGTAAATTTCCTACCGTAAATATATCAAAACTTAATGTTTGATTAGTAATATGCATTGCTAAGAACTTCATTTGAACAACTTTAAAGATGATTTTCTCAATATTTAGATTTTTTTGCACCCTCAGATTCCAGATTTTCAAATAGTTGTATCTCAGCCAAATATTGTCCGATCCTAACAAACCATAAATCAGTGGAAAGCTTATTTATTCAGATTTCAGATGATGTATGAATCTAAATGTCAAAAAATTGACCCTTATGACTGGTTTTGTGCTCCAGGGTCACACATGTAAAATGTTAAATGAATTTACTGGGTCAAAATTTGTTTGAAAATCACGAACAACTAAAAAAAAGTCTTTGTGAATCTGGCCCGAGATGATTTCAGTTTTATGGATGTTTATATCGACAACAATATAAACATCATTCTATGAAACAGGTGTCTTTTCCAGGTGGATAAAAATGTTGGAGTAAATTTTTGTAAGGTTTGTACCAATAATGTGACTCCAAGAGTAGCCCACAAATATAGTAAACACATTCAACAGTTAGTTGTGTTTGCTGTGTGTACTGTAGGGATCCCTGTGCATCTACAAAGCCCCAGTGTTTGATGAGGTGTCCAGAGAAACGGGCTTTGATTCCAACATGGGCATGTTCCAGAACATCCCACACAACGACCCCGTTAACGTCCTCGTCCGAGTCTATGTGGTCCGGGTATGTGGTACTAAACACCTTAGAGCAGTACGTTGAGTTTTTTCTGCTTGGCCATTTGAACAAATGCGTGGCTTTGTCTCAGGCAACAGAACTGCATCCTGCAGACATCAATGGGAAGGCCGACCCATATATCGCCATCAAGCTCGGGAAGACAGAGATCAAGGACAAAGAGAACTACATCTCTAAACAACTCAACCCTTTGTTTGGAAAGTCAGTACATTAACACAGTGATTATGATGTTCTCTTTCATCACTCGATTCATATTAACTGCAAACTTCAAACTCCCAGGTCTTTTGATATTGAAGCGACGCTCCCAATGGATTCCACCCTCACCGTGTCCATCTACGACTGGGATTTGGTGGGAACCGATGACCTGATTGGGGAGACAAAGATTGACTTGGAGAACCGTTTCTACAGCAAGCACAGGCCAGCCTGTGGTCTCACCTCCAGCTACGCAATGTGTGTAATACTCACTTCTATCAAACACATTAGAAAGTCTGTGCTTGCCAGTACTCATGTTGTGTGTGATATACTATTATAGTTTTTTATTAGTATTCTGAATTAGGTTTTATTTCTGTTCAGTGATTGTGTTTTTTATTACTGTATTTCTCTATAATTCTTATTAATTTTATTTCAGTTTTTGTTTTAATTATTCTAGTAAATAAAGATACATTAAAAGGAAAATGAAAAATTATGCAACTAGCTGAAATGTATTGATATTTGCTTTTATTCAGGTTAACGTTTATTTTATTTCAAGATACAAAATTTATCCAATGACATTTCTCATTTTTATGCAATTCAGAATATTAATGACTAGATAACAAAATAGCACTGTAATAAATCTTATAAATCACTTAAAAAAGTGTCCCTGGAGCACAAAAGCAGTGTTGAGTCGCTGGGGGATATTTGTAGCAATAGCCAACAATACATTGTATGGGTCACAATTATACATTTCTCTTTTATGCCAAAAATCATTAGGATATTAAGTAAAGATCATGTTCCATGAAGATATTTCTCTCGATATTTCACCAAGGAAGCCAAAGAAGTAGGAAGCACTAGGTGAAATTCTTTAGCAAAATGCAGATGAATATTTTATTTTCTAAATCTGTTTTGGTCACTGACAGATTTGAGCTCAGGGTGATCGTGTGGAACACAGACGAAGTCGTTCTGGAGGACGATGACATTTTCACAGGGGAAAAATCCAGTGACATATTTGTTAGAGGGTATGGGATCTTTTTCATTCAAATCATTTGTATATATACAGTATAACCCATTACTTGACTCATCCATATATGTGACCCTGGACCACAAAATAAGGGTCAGTTTTTCGAAATTGAGATAAATAAGCTTTCCATTGATGTATGGTTTGTTAGGATAGGACAATATTTGGCTGAGATACAACTATTTGAAAATCTGGAATCTGAGGGTGCCAAAAAATCTAAATATTGAGAAAATCGTCTTTAAAGTTGTTCAAATGAAGTTCTTAGCAATGCATATTACTAATCAAAAATTGAGTTTTGATATATTTACGGTAGGAAATTTACAAAATATCTCATATATTTTTGGCATAAAAGAAAAATGTATAATTGTGACCCATACAATGTATTGTTGGCTATTGCTACAAATATCCCCCAGTGACTCAACACTGCTTTTGTGCTCCAGGCTCACATACTGACTGAAGCTATCTGAGCAGCTGGTCATAATAGTGTGATAATTCTTTATCACAGTCAAGACACAGATCCGCTTTACAATTTAGAAGGTATACCTTTGGGGACAATACAAAAATCTTTGCAATAATCTTTTGAATAATTTTGTAAAAAAATCTCTTTCCAGTACATATTGATTTTATCACAATCCCAAAATACATGCATCACCGTGCCAGTGTCTGCCTTACGTTTAAAGCATAGCTGAGAGGAATTGGGGAATATTCTATGGAGGCGAGCTGGGCTTAGATAAGAGCATAATGTATAGTTTTGTTCGTGAACCGAAATTGAAGCACCTTTGGGGAAGACATTTGAACAGCCACTCCTCATCACTAAAACTAGATCCTAAGTCCTTTTCCCATATCACTCTTAAAGAGTCAAAGGTTGAAGGACCAACATTAGACAGCATTGTATATAATGTAGGAAGCACTTGGTGAAATTCTTTAGCAAAATGCAGATGAATATTTTATTTTCTAAATCTGTTTTGGTCACTGACAGATTTGAGCTCAGGGTGATCGTGTGGAACACGGACGAAGTCGTTCTGGAGGACGATGACATTTTCACAGGGGAAAAAGAGTAAATGAAGAAAAAAGCTGTTTTTCTATTTCGGTAAGATCATACTGTATATTACCTTCTTTTAACTATAACTCTAAAAAGTGTCTTTTTGAAAGAAACATCAAAACTCAAACCCGACCCAGCGTGAATCAAATCTGTAAATAAACCAGCATAACATCTGCTTAATTTGTTCAGACCAAAAATATAATTGAATATCGGGACCCTCACCCAATTCCTTTGGTTTCATCGGAACAGAAAGTTTTACCTACAGGCCGAAGAGAAAATCGTCATGTCAAAGAAAGAGTCCATGTTTTCTTGGGATGAGACGGAGTATAAAATTCCTGCCCGACTGAATTTGCAAGTGTGGGATGCGGATCACTTCTCTGCAGACGACTTCCTGGGTGTGCTGTTGTACTTTTATGATTATTATTATGATTTGTATGATTAAATGTACATTCAGGCTCAGTCGTAATGACCTTCATTCATGCCGGCACATGTGTTTTTGGTTTTTGTTTCAGGTGCAATTGAACTAGACCTGAATCGATTTCCTCGCGGTGCGAAGACAGCGAAGCAGTGCTCCATTGACATGGTGATTAACGAGCAAGACATGCCCATGGTCAACATCTTCAAACAGAAGAGAATTAAAGGCTGGTGGCCATTTGTGGCACGAGATGAAAACGACGAGTTGGAAATTACAGTAAGTAACCTGCACGTAAATACGCTAATTTCTCATTTTCTTTTAGTTTGACGATGTACTTCAATAACTAAAACTGAAATAAAAAAAATATAGACGTATTTTTTAAAAACAAAAACGAATTATATTAAATAAAATATACAAATAAAAACTCATTCAAAATCTAAAAAATTCAAAAGCACAACAGAGGCAAAATTAGGAGTTTTCAGTGAACAGAGCAGTGATCAACAATAGGTGGCGCTGTTGTCAAAGTGATGTGGTGTGTTCAGTGTGAGGTGACAATGGCACACACATAGCTTTGCAGAGATATAGCCTCAGATACAGTTCATAATATTATAATATATTATTATCATGTTTGACCACAAGGTGGCGCTGCCCCAAAACCTTTTGAGTACCCTAAAAAAACTGGGTATTGTTGCGATCCATATGCTGCACTGAACCGAAAGAGATCAGTCTTGTGATTTTTGGCCAAACCATTCAGAAGTTATAAGCATATTTTTCATATCTCCTGACCACTAGGTGGCACTGTGCTGAAACTGTGTGACTAAACGGCTAAATCTGCTTACCATGCTGCCGGGTATACACTACATGATTTTGTGCCTGATTTTCAGCCGCAAACAGTTTTCTTAAGATTGCTGACAAAAGCCCAAAATCTGAGGCAAATCGGTATTCGTTCAAGCCAGCGATGATCGCATAGTGTAAAGTTTGTTCCGTTGTGTAATGTGCAAACCACAGCAACTTCATGAAACAGTCAAGTAGCGTGAAAGGAACCCAGCAAAAGATATATGCAAATATGTGCCGTGAGCATCTAAGCTGCGGCTGCACAAACAGACAAACATAAATCCCCCATAAGCAGATCTAGACAGGTGGTGCTGGGGAGGAGGAGGGAGTTTGACAGAAAGTGATGTGAACTCACTCACAGCAACACTAGCGCAAAGACTATTTAAATGCGTGCAAGTTCAATGGCAGATGTGTAACACATCAGTACCAATCAGCTGTCGGCTGGCAGAACATTAAATATGACTACGATTGCTATATGTGCAATCTGTTACACTTTGTTTTAAGGTGATGTTGCTACAATGTAAATACACAAATAAGTGCAGAGTAAAATTATTTAACTACATGTAATTAGAACAAGGTTAGTCTGGTTTAGAGTTATTTGTAAATATTCATCATTTACTCGATTACTATAGGAATCACATTTAACGTGTAACTACATCAACTTAACCGAAAGTGTTACCATCTACCAGTGTTACCAATATCGCCTGTTCTTCCTAACCAAAATGAAATGATTCACTGAAAATGCTGCCTTCTAAGCATTTAAATTTCAAATCTTGCACTTCTGCATATTCAAACTCTCTCACATGATACATAATACGCTGAACAACTAAAACATGACAATCCTGTGGCCTCCTGCAAGTCATATGGACTACTGTAATCATACTTTTATGATGCCTTTTTGTTGTTTTGGGGACTTGGTAGTAAAAAGCATCTTTCACTTTTAACTGTGCTTTAAACATATTTCAAAATAACTTTGTTCAGTGAAAAAAGAAAATCCTACAAACTAAATGACAGGATTTTTTTTTTTAAACAATGAATACTCATCCTAAACCATCAATGTGCACTTGTAGCATTTTTTTAATTCAACATGTTTTTTTTTAATCTCTTAAGGGGAAAGTAGAAGCAGAGCTTCACCTGCTGACAGGCGAGGAGGCCGAGAAGAGTCCTGTTGGTGAAGGACGCAATGAACCAGAGCCTCTGGAGAAACCAAAGTAAGAGCAACACTTACCTTCAGTGCTTCAGTCATATTTTCCACTTTCACTAAAATATAAAAACCTTTCATTTGTTGAACTAAACACGATAAATCACTTTAAAAAATTGAATTAACATTTATTTAGAAAACATTCTATCATCCATTTTTTTTAAATAAATACTTTAGAAAGAGTGCTTGTTAGAAAATATATGGTAGCTTCTTGTTTTCCTGCTTCCAGCTTTCCTAAAAATAAGCAGATATGGCTTTGCATATCCTGGTTTAAAAGAAATCTCTCATTAATACCTCCCAGAAAAGGAATGACACTCCACCTAATATTAACATGTACTTTTTAAAACAAAATTAGAATCATCATTCTTTTAGGTTTCAGATTACAGATCCCATATTACATGATTTATCTCAAAAGCTCTTAAAGCATGCAGTATTTAACCCCAAACATCAATCTGCTTACACTGTTGCCTCACTTTCTACCCAGAAACCTTGAGAAGTAGCTGCCAATTTCATTTAATTCATCCTGTTTGTAAAGCAGAGTATTAAATACTGGTAAGTAGGTGAGTTTATACCAGTGAGTCTAGGAAACACCTGTTGGAAGAGCGTTTGGTTACTTTAAAAGTGTCCTGTGATCAGAAGTCATATGCATACTTACTGTTTTTCATCGGTGTTAAAAATCATTACTGTTTTAACTGAAGGATGACCATAAACATACTATTAAACGGCAAAGCCCTCATTGATGATCATCAAACGCTGACAGGAGAGTGTAGCAGTTCTTTTGGAAAATGCTAGTTTTGGCTTTTCACATTTTAATCGTTGAGAACCTTGTGTCCAGTCATAGCCGTTAGCTCTTTGTGTTTCAGAAAACAAACAAAATCTAAACGCGTAGCTGTCACGTTTGTCTGCATATCCAGTGCTGATGTAAAATGTTTGTTTTTTATATATCAATTCAAAAGGGTTTTCAGATTTATTCACTGAACGATGTGTTATTGTGTGCTTTGGATGCTACCAATAAATCAATAAAGAAAACGGCATGCATTTTATTTATTAACAGTTCGTGAAAATCCTAAATTTTGTGCACCTATTCTCTAAAAACCAGTCCAATCGTGGATTACCGTCCTTCGATATTTCGCAATAAACAGGCCCATTTACCATCCATTTGTAAGCAGAAAATAAACAGCTATCTTATAATGCTAGTGTTGAATCTCTTAAGTAGAACAATGCAGTGTTGACTAAACTTCACGAGTCTACGAGCACTGATGTGCACCATTACACACTTGAACCTGCCAAAATTGCATGTCATCAATGAGACACACATTTTAAATTTGTGCATGTTCACAACTATTTAAAACCCAATTTTTAAAAGCTTGTTCAATTGTTTTGTCCCACCAGCCGCCCCGACACTACATTCCTGTGGTTCCTTAGCCCGCTAAAGGCAATCCACCATCTCATCTGCAAACAGTACAAGTGGCTGGTCATCAAAATTGTGTTGGCGCTGATGCTTCTTGCCATTCTGGCCCTGTTCCTCTACAGTATGCCTGGCTATATGGCCAAGAAACTCCTGGGGGTCTGAGAGATTCAATCAGAGCTTAATCTCCTCTGCGATATGTTTGAAATGCTTGAATTGAACATGATTTGTATGTCTGCATTTGGCGAAATAAAGACATCAGTTGACAGCAAACCTAACGTCCAGTCTTTTGTTTTTCATTGGCACATGTTTCATGTTCATCGTTTTAAGTTGGTGTGATATTAGTGTTAAATTGAACTATAACTCACTCTAGCTTTCTTTCATAGCAAGGTCTTTTACGTTGAAGCACTCTTTATCGAGAGGGAGTTAACTGTGTACAAAACCGGTTGAATGGTTCGGTCACCTGCTTGCTATATATGGAATATAAACTGAAGCTGCAGTATCCCTTTTTCCTCAAAAAACAGTTCATCTCTCGCCTGCGAACGCAGGCAAGGGAAAGTGGCAAGCACCAATATCGATTGTTCGTCTTAAGTCATGATTGATTATAAAAACTACACAATTCATTGCTCTTCGACTGGCATTCGCGAGAACCGCCCGGCGTTGGCAGAAAAAAGGACACTGCAGGGCTTAGCAAATGCAGCGGATGCATTTGTGAAGTTTAAGCCAATACAAAAGTAACATTTTATTCCAAACTATCATACAATCATACACCCAGTAACTACATAATCTGAAGAAGCAAGGCCGCTAATTCAGTTGAAAGGAGGATAAAAGCAGGGCTTGTTCCAGCTCATCACATGAGCTTCATTTGCATGCCCAGTTTTACTGTTTGCAATGTCAGAGCAGCAGCGGATTGACTATATTACATTAAGAATATCTGCTGCCCTTGTGCATATTTAATAAGAAACAAGCCCTGCTCCTATGCTTCGACGCGTCCCTATTTACAGTACAGGCAGGGTAGTTGAATCCTCTTCACTGAGGTAGTTAACCGACCCTTAAAAAGACAAGTTCTGAAAAGAACCACGTTCCTGGAATGCCTGACTTGTCCACGCGAGGCGGTTACACCAAAAACCCGCAGATGTTCTCAATCCCAATCCAAGCGCTTTAGGTTAGCATGGACATTCCCACAACAACATTGTAGTTAGCACAAAAATATACATCAGCATCAAGCTCCTCCAAGCCACTTCAAACACAGGAGTAAAAAAAAGAAAAAGAAAAAGTGCAAAACACATCTGACAAATTGAACCGGCCCGTCCCCTGGGAGCGGTGGAGCCGCGGCCCCTGGACAGCGTGGGGCCCCGGACTCCTCTGTTGCCTCTTCCTCTGACATGAGCTTGAAAGTCATCGTAGCCGTAGTAGGGGTCGTCGTAACCGCCTCTGTAGTTGTGATAGTCATAGCCGTAGTAATCGTAATAATCTTCATAGCTGTAATAGTCGTGGGGATACGAATAACCTCTAGCGCCTCGTCCTCTTGCTCTCGTCGGGGGATGCATATGCGGCGGCCCGTAGTAATAATACTCATCATACCTGAAACAAACACACGTGTTTACAATCTTTTCCGCACTGGTTGCTCACACCTCAGATTTGAAAAAAAGACTTGAGAAATGGGCGTGTAAAGCTGTGGAAAAGTGGGCATGAAGAGGAGACACAACAGCCACTAAAACACAGACATACAACTCTCATTATACAGAGCAATAGCGGTATGACCAAAAATCTGTTTCACGGTATGACTATTATTTCACGGTATAGTATAGTATAGTGGTCGACCGATATTGGTTTTTTGACAGCCGATGCCAATATCTTGGAAAGCAGGGTGGCCGATATAATTGTATTTATTTTAATTAATATTTAAGAAATTTGAAAATGGATTCAAAAATAAATTTGTAAAATAAACATACTTATACTTTAGATGACAAAGTATTTTTCACAAATAAATATTTGATAAAAATATAATTAAAAAGTAAACTGTAACCAACAGGGCACTCAGTATTCTGGGAAGTTTGTGTGCATTGGGAATCATGTTTTTTCAAATAAAGCCAAGGTAACACTCACTTTACGTACAGCACACAGTGAAAATGACATGAATATGACAGT